ACTAAACATATAAAACCATAATAACATATATATCATATAAACATTGAGAAATCCATCATAATAACATAATAACATATCAACATATAAAACCATCAACATATAAAACCATAATAACAGATAAAACCATATCATATAAAACCATATTCATGTTGGCTACTCTCTTAAAAAATACGAATTTCCAAACTATTAAAAAATATGCTCTATCAAGTTACATTAATATTTTTAGCCATCATTATCTAATATTTTTGTTATATTCAAATTAGAAGAAAACTCATTTGTATGAGTGGTACTAGATGAATTATCCATCTAACGTTCAAAATAGCAACAAAATAAAAACAACATCAATCTCAATCCCAAAATAACAATAGAAAAACAATAACACATAAAACATTTTGAGTTTAGGCTTTTAACAACAACAACAACAAAAACAATAGTATACGTAACATATCTACACAAACCCAACAACATTAGTGTTAACATCATATCAAATATCATACTTGAACTCAAATTTACTTGCATGTCCTCAAACCTTCAATACAAAACAACACTAAAAACCTTCACTAAACCTTCAATAACTCAATAAAAACAACAACAGCAACAATAATATTAAACCTTCAATGCCTCAATAACAACAAACTTTCGCATTGCAACAACTACATCAAACCTTCAATATCTCAATAAAACAAAACCTTTAACAGCAACAATAATATTAAACCTTCAATATCTCAATAACACAAAACCTTTAATATCTCAGAAAAACCATCTATATCTTCAAATACCAACAATGGTGAAAAGATAAATAAACAAGAAAACCATAGTAAAACTTCACATACCTTAACAATGGTGGAAATGCAATGCAATGCAGACTCGAAAACAGACGGTGAACGGCGACGGCGGCGCAATCCAACGAAAGAGGGCGACGGTCGACGACGGATGACGGCAACAAAAACTTTGAATAGGGCAAGGTCGTTCGCAAAAGGAGAAAGAAAGAAGAAAAGAAATGCACGACTGTTCTGTTTCTCTTAAAATTATGGAGGGTATTTTAAAATTATAATACTAATACCTATAGCAACGCTTTTAAAGGCCTTTAGCAGCGCTTTTAAAAGCGCTTTCATAGGGTGTCTTAGCAATGCCATATAGCAGCGCTTTATAGAAAAAGCGCTGCTAAAGGGGCCCCCTTTAGCAGCGCTTTTTAAAAGCGCTTTCTTAGGGTCCCCCTTTAGCAGCGCTTTTTAAAAGCGCTTTCTTAGGGTACCCCTTTAGCAGCGCTTTTGAAAAAGTGCTTTCTTAGCGCCCCCCTTTAGCAGCGCTTTTTTAAAAGCGCTGTCTTTGGTAGGAAATTTTTTTTCTTTTTTTTTTACTCACCCTTTAGCAGCGTTTTTTAAAAAGCGCTGTCTTTGTGTGCGCTGTTAAAACTCATTTCTGACGTAGTGTGCATTCAAGTTAAACCTCATATCAATTTCTAAACTATGTAAATCCATGAATTTAACAATCAAATTCACACACTCGTTGCTTCATACAGGATTTGAAGTCAATGAAGATGACAGGTTTGACTAGTCCAGTGAATGGATTGTACAAATTAAAGAGGGTTTCTCCAGACACACACACAAGTCCTTGATCTACCTTTTCACCACAAACATGTTAATCACACAAACAACCACATTTCCTTTCATATTATACCTCAAAATTCCCTTTGGAACTTTAGACTATGGCACTTATCCAACCATAGATTGTATGATGTGACAAAAGTGTATCCTTACATTACTAATGAAAATAAGAATGTTTGTGACATTTGTCATTTTGAAAAGCAAATAAAAAATCCTTTCAAATCTAGTATCTCTCATGCTACTTCTAAATATGCTTTTCTTCATTTTGACATATGGGGCCCAATATCCACTCCTTCAACCACGGATATTGATATTTTTTACCATAGTGGATGATTATAGTAGATTCACCTGGATTATACTGATGAAAGCTAAATCATAAGTAGCCACCCATGACCTAAACTTTATTAACATGGTTGGAAATCAACACAAAACCACTCCTCAAATTATAAGGACAAACAAAGGTCTTGAATTTTTCCCCCTCATTCTACAACACCAAAGGTATCATACACAAAAAAATTTTGTGTTGAAACTCCCCGACAAAATGGGAGAGTAGAAATAAAATATCAACATTTCTTGAATGTCTAAATAACCTATCAGTCAAAACTTCCCAATTTTTATTAGTTAGATGCCCTAACCATGTAATTTTCCTAATAAATAGAGTGACAATTCCTATCTTATCCAACGAATCACCCTATTTCACTTTATTGGATAAAAATCCTGATTTACAACTTTTCAAAGTTTTTGGATGCCTTGCGTATGCATCCACTTTATCATCTCACAAATCCAAAAAAGATTCAAGAGCAAGAGCATCTATTTCATGGGTTACAAGACATGTTATAAAGGATATTTGCCCTTAGACCTTCATACTAATGAAGTATTCATTTCTACAAATGTAATATTTCATGAACACATAATTCCATACCCACAAAGCAACATCCGTCCTAACACTAATTGGGAAATATACACTCATCCTACACAACCTTCATGCAATGATCAACATACATCCCCACCTGCCACTCACATTGACAAAAAATTATCATCATCTAACAATCATTCACAACATCAACCTCCACATAACACAACCAATTCCCATCAACATGATGATGATACTGACCTGACCGACACCAATAATGATCAGCACACCAACTCAAATGACACCAACACAGAACTGAAATACACTAACTCTAACCATCACATCAGACCAAAAACACCACCTACATACCTCAAAGACTATATTTGCAATACATTAACTGATGCACACAATCGTTCATCTTTAGGTACACATTACCCTATTTCAAATTTGATGTCTTATTCTAACTGATGCATTCTCATTTTGTCATGCCTCTTAACTCTATAGCTGAACCAAAATTATTTACTGAGCAAAACAAGTATGAATGTTGGAAGTAAGCTATACTAACTGAGATTGCAACCCTTTAGAGAACAGGTACATGGGACATTGTTGACCTATCACCCAACATAAAACCTATAGGATGCAGATGGATATACAGAATCAAGTTTCACGCAAATGGTTCAGTTGAAAGATTCAAGGCCAAGTTAGTAGCTAAAGGCTACAATCGAATTGAAGGACTCGATTACTTTGATACATATTCGCCCGTAGCCAAGCTCACAACAATCAAATTTGTCATAACCCTCACATCTATACATAATTGGCACATACATCAATTAGATGTAAATAATTCCTTTTTACATGGTGAACTACAAGAGGATGTTTACATGATCATCCCTCCTGGAATCAAAACCAACAAACCAAATCAAGTATCTAAACTCAAAAAATCTTTGTATGGCAAGTAGAAAAAGATATGAAAAACTCACCTCCACCCTCATCCATAATAATAATGTTCAAGCTCATGCAGATCACCCACTTTTTACCAAACAAGACAAAAATAACTTCACTATTCTCCTAGTCTATGTAGATGACATAATCATTGCTGGAAATTGACTTGGGGAATTTGACAAGATCAAATCAGTCCTACACATTCAATTTCAAATCAAAAATCTAGGCCAACTCAAATACTTTCTTGGATTAGAATTCGCTCATTCCAAGTCAGGCATATCCTTGTGTCAATGAAAATGTTGCATTGATCTCTTGTCTGATTCAGGTTTCATCGGATCCAAACCTGTCAACACACCTGTTGATCCTTCTATTAAACTATCAAATGACTTTAGCTTTCCACACATGAATATTCCAAGTTATAAAAGACTAATTGTTTGCTTGCTTTATCTGACAACTACTCGACCAAATATTACCTTCGTCATACAACAACTTAGCCAATTTCTCAACAAACTTTCCACCACACATTTTCAGGATGCATCAAGAGTTCTTAGATACTTGAAACAAAGTCCAATTCAAAGTTTATTCTTTCCTCGATACTCGCCATTGCACATCACATGATTCTTTGATGTTGGTTGGCCTGACTACATTAACACGCATCACTCTATCTCAGGCCAATGTTTCTTCCTAGGGAAATCTCTGATTTCATGGCTCAAGAAACAAATGATTGTATCCAGGTCTTCCTCAAAAGCAGAACATCGAGCATTAGCTGCATCTGCATGTGAACTTCAATGGCTGATCTTTCTCCTTGCAGATTTACATGTTTTACCAACTAAAACACCAACATTATATTGCGAAAATCTTAGTGCTATTCACATTGCAGTAAACCTTGTCTTTCATGAACGGACCAAACACCTTGAAATTGATTGCCACTTAATTCGTGAAAAACTTCAAAATGGCCTTTTCAAACTCTTGTCGAGGTCTTCAAAAGATAAGTTGTCAATTTTTTCACTAAACCTCTATTTTCTTACCCTTTCCACATCCTATTATCCAAATTGGACAATGATCATAATCTGTCCTCCATCTTATAGGGGACTCTCACACAATAATAATGCAAGTTAGTTAAGCAGTAACTAACTTATTTACATCACCTTTCCCTTCATGAAATTGTTGGTTACTTGATTGTAAAGCTTTTCATATATAGAAAAAGGTAGTTAGAAGCCGGTTGAAAAATAAATAATCGTATAAAGCTCATTCATAACTGTTAATATAGAATCACATATTATAATTTTAGGCTGTTTGAGAATATCTTATTAATATAAAAAAAGAAATCATATCTAGTTCCCGTCTTTTAGCAAAGGTCTACATGTTTATAAACAATGTGAAGGGAATTTTGAATTGAGTTTTTGACGTTGAGGTGGCCTTTTTTTCTAGTAGAGCCATAACATTTTTATCAAGAGAAGACTAAAGTTTCATTCCGAACTCTTGAGGGTTAAAAATGAAATTAAGGTAAGAAGAAGGACAAAAAAAAAACATAACATAACCCATAAACACTCAACTCCGCATTCGTGTTGAAGATTTTCAGAAAGAGAGAAAGAAAAATGAAAGCCATTGAAGCCTTACACTTACGGTGTATGCTTCCACTATCCATCACCAAAAAAACTCTCTTTACACACCAAACACCAACCCCATTATCATCAATTTCAAACCCACAATTGAGTTTAACCTTATCATCTTCTCAAACTGCTACTGTCAGAACAAGAGCAGGTTGGTTTTCGGGTCTTACAAAGGACAATAACAACAAGAAGATGAATTTGCCTGATACTGTTAAAGCTGGTGACCCTGTTCTTCATGAGCCTGCTCAAGAAGTTGATCCTAGTGAGATTAAGTCTGAGAAAGTGCAGAAAATTATTGATGATATGATTAGGGTCATGAGGAAAGCTCCTGGTGTTGGTTTGGCTGCTCCTCAGATTGGAATTCCTTCTAGGGTTAGTTACGTTTTTGATGATTTTTGTGGTTTGTTATTTACCCTTTTTTCAATTTTGTGGGTTTGTCTTGTTTCACTCACTATTGCTGAATAGATTAAGGGTGTAGTTGTTTTGTTAAGGATTGGAATGTAGAATGAAAGTGACTTCTGATTGCATGTTGTTCTGTGGTGGAACCCGAAATGTGTAATGATAACTTGATGAGGTGGAGTAAGCTTCTGGCGTGGCGGAGAGAGGGCTGACCTGCAATGTTAGCACTCAAACGGCCAAGTTAGTTTTTGAATGAAAAGTAGTGTCACTGTCGAAATAGATTATGGTTAGAACATACCTCAGGTCTTGCGCGTAATCCTGTATATATGAGAGGTGGTTAGAAATCTCTTTGTTTTCCTTAGTGGTACGTGGTGAACCATTGGATGACATCCAACGGCAAAGAATGATTTGTGATATGGATTGAATACGGGTGTGGAAGACGTGGGTGTAGTGTGCCTCCAACACCTTATGACTTTGAATTGATGATTGAGCCTTTTTGTTACCGGGCATGTGGTCGGCCCGGAACTCTTGCTTATAAAATTGAAAGTGAAGTTGCGGAATTTACTTTCACCCCAACTCGAAAAGTTTTCCATTCCTATAATTTGAAAGTGAGTTGAACTTTGTCTTTTCATGTATGCAGATAATTGTTTTGGAAGATACCAAAGAGTATATTAGTTATGCACCAAAGGAAGAGACCAAAGCTCAAGATAGAAGACCTTTTGATCTTTTGGTATGTTTATATATACTGAGAAAAGGAAATTATTGACAGTGAATATGTACTTTTGTCTTAAAGGTTCATTACTTTAATGCATATTTCATTGGTTTCCTTGTTGCAGGTGATCGTGAACCCCAAGCTGAAGAATAAGAGCAACAAGACTGCCCTATTTTTTGAAGGGTGTTTGAGGTTTGTCAATCTTTTTCATTTATTATCCTTTCATTCACTTGTTCGAGCGAAGCATTTAATAAATTGATATGTGAAATTAGAAACGGTTAAGATTTAAGAGTCCCACATCGGACAATATATAACACTATAAAAATCATTTAAAGAAAAAGACAAAACAAACGGGCCCTAAGTTAGGCCAAACCACAATTCTTAACAGAAATTGTTGCATATCGGCATATCCTTCTTATTGATCAAAATAAAAATTTGCTCTTCATATTCAACTGTGTTGTCAAATAGCCTGATATAGCACTATAGTGTAGCAGTGTTATAACACTCTAGTGTTTTACAAGCCGTGATTTAGCACCATAATATACTGGAATGTGGTATCCCACCTTTTCTCAATTACTTTGAAATACAGAATAAGAATGCTAATTGTTTCTTCCACATACAAGTTTTCTCAACTTGCTGATACCTCTTGTTTGGCATCAATGTACTGCAACAAATTCAAAGTAGTATTCATAATATCAGAAAATTATTCTGCATATGCTTAGTTGGTTTTAAATTTTAAAACCTTAGAACTATCACATTGGTTCTTTGTTTCAATACTGATATTAAATCTGTATGTTTAATGTAATGCTAGTTTAGCTTACGCATTCCTCGTATTCTAATATGAACCTGTATTGTTTTGTTTTTATAATTTTATGTCTGATATCCGTGATCTTTATGGTCATAGAAATTACAAACTATAAGCATTTCTAAAGTATAATTTGTTAATAACGAAGTGCCATAAGTATAATGCTTGAACTTGACTTCTAAAGTATAATGCTTGAACTTGACTTCTAAAGTATAATGCTTGGACTTGACCTTAATCGCCCAACATTTTGTCCCGTACAACATCGCAGGTCTTACCGGAGTCCGATAAAGTTTTCCCTTCAGTTTGAGCAGTACCTTTGTGTCACAAAAGCCTCTGAAACCCTCCTTTATTTCAGCCACCCAACTTGAATTCGATAGTTTACATCTCCTCTATTTCTCTATTGTTTTGTATTACGGATCTAAGATATTTAAACCATGGACTTGTGTGGGATGAAATGGTCTCCAACTTTCACCTCTAAATTAGAAATACTTTTGTTTTTGCTGACTTTATATTCCATATACTGCGTCTTCTACTTAGGCGAAAGTTATATTTTTTTAAAGTTCATCTTAAAGTCTCCAATCTCTCAAGTCAATATATAGATTTTTGTATTGGTTTTGATGGATGTTTACTACACATGGATATTTTGATTGAGAGATTAAATTGATTGACCTTCTTTGGTTTAAGGGACTAATTTGCTATTTCATAAAGTTGAGGGATTAAAATGTTGATTTGCTCAGTTTTTGTTTTTACTAAAAAATAGTGTGATTAACATGTTGAATTGTTATAACATCTGCAGTGTTGATGGATTTAGAGCTGTGGTAGAGCGATACCTTGACGTTGAAGTTACAGGTTTGGATCGTAATGGCGAACCGATCAAAATATCTGCTTCTGGTTGGCAGGCACGGGTTTTACAACATGAATGTGATCACTTAGAGGGAACTCTATATGTCGATAAGATGGTACCTAGAACTTTCAGAACCGTAGAAAACTTGGATTTACCTCTTGCTCAAGGATGCCCGAAACTTGGCCCTTGGTAAAACAGGTTTTGCGACTCTGCCGCTGCCTTGGATAAAACCATCAACACAGGTTTCTTGTGCATGTTAGTGAGAATTTTACATTCGTAGATCCTAAATTTTTAAAGTGGAATTTTACATTCTTGTGCATGTAATCAGCTGTTTTGTTCTGCAAAGTTAAAATTTTTCATTGCTTTTAGCATCTGTTTGAGAATCAAGAAAATAACCACAACATTTTAGGAGTTTCATGGCTAGAGTTATGAACGATTAAAGCAGCAGATCAATAATGCTCTTATATTTAAATTTCGACAGCAATCAGAGATCATTATAATTTAAATAGCAATTATACTTATTTTTTTAATGAAGTCATATTAAATAAAAAAATTCTCAGAAAAACAAATAAAATTACATTTTCCACTCTTATAATATTTAATGTCATATTAAATGTGAATTTATTAAAATTAAAATCACCAAAATCCTCATTTTAAAAGTGAATGATTTGATTTCAAGCTCTTCCACCTCTCTCCAGTTTTTTTAAACCAGATCACTTAAACTTAAAATAATCTTCATTTCTCTTCCTTCTCTAAGGACAATGACAACTTAAAATATATCATATGGAACAGAGAGGTAATTGGGAAAATTACTTAGTGTTGTTTACAACAACAATTTTCATTTTAGTATTTGAATGACACCATTTGAGGCTTTGTATGGTAAAAGGTGTAGGACACCTCTGTGTTGGTATAATTCTGGTGAAAGTGTTATATTTGGACATGAGATTGTTCAGTAGACTACTAAGAAGATCAAGATTATCTAAGAGAAGATGAAAGTTTCGCAGAGTTTCCAGAATAGTTATAATGATAAGAGGAGGAAATCACTTGAGTTCTAGGAGGGAGATCATGTGTTTTTGAGAGTCGCTTCGGTTACAGGTGTTGGTCGTGCTTTCACATCTCAAAAGCTCATGTCGTGATTCATTGGTTCTTATCAGATTATAAAACGAGTATGAGAAGTGGCCTACAAAGTTGCTTTACCGCCATTTCTTTCAAATTTTCATGATGTATTTCATGTGTCTCAGTTAAGAAAGTCTATTTCTGATCCGTCTCACGTGATTTAAGTGGACGATGTACAAGTGAGAGAATTTAATCGTTGAGGCGTCTCCCTCGAGAGTAGAGGATCGCGAAGTGAAGCACTTGAGAGACAAGGAAATTGCGCTGGTGAAGGTGGTGTGGGGATGACCTGCTGGAGGAAACATGACGTGGGAGCTGGAGAGTCAGATGATAGATTCATATCCTACTCTGTTTTCTTCAGATAGCTTTTTAGGGTGAAAATTCTATGAGTGGAAGAGAGTTGAAACACCTCGAGTTCAATTAATTTATTTAATTGAATTTATTTGCATTTTATTTAATTTATTAAGTTATTTATATGATTTTATTTGGATAATTAGAAATATTTATGTTTTGTAGGGTTTTGAGAGAGTTAAGGGAATTATAGAAATTAATTAAATTATGTTAATTAATTTAAGTTGAGTGGAATAATTAAAAATAAGGCAGTTGTAGAAAAATAAGAGAAATAGTATAATTCGGTGGATAATTGAATAATTAAAAATTAAAAATAAAGGAAATTGGAGTTAGTTAAAGGAGTAGGGACGAGAGAGAGAGAGAGAATATGAGAGTAAGTTGAGGGTAATAAAGGAATAACCGAATTAGGGAATTAACTTTTGGTTTAAATAGAAAAGAGTAAGGACTGAACCTTAACATTACGTATTATTTTGGAGAACAAGAGAAAAGAGGCAAGGGATGTAACCTAGGGTTTAAGGAGAAAACACCATTATTAAGGAGCTTAGAGCTTGCTTTGATGGAAATCCAAGGTAAGGCGAAGATTACTCTTCTATGGGTGTATATTGTATGAAAGGTAAAGAGGGATCTTCACTCTCTTCAAGGTTTTTCTTTTGATTTCACCATTGTTGATGTATTCATGTATTCTTGATGAAACTTGTGTAAATGATGTGTCCAATTGTTATGGTTCATGATTTAATCTGTGTCTTATAACATGTTTAATTGTTATGAGATTGTTATATGTTGTTAAATTTATGATATGATGTGTTAGAATGTTATAATGTGAATAATTTGATGTACAAGGGTTAAGGGATGTGGAAGATGAAGTAAACATGTTGAAAACTGAGATCTTTGAGATATTGACTGATGTCAATCGACTGCACGCGTGAAAAATAAAAGTAAAATTGAGAAGAAGAACTATGTCAATCGAATAATTAAATCGATTGCTCTTAGCCAAAACATGAGAAATTAGAAAGGAAGAATGTAATGAAGAATAATGTCAATTGATTGCCTCCAGATGTAGATCGATTGATACAAGTTGAATTTTAAAAATTTGCTAAGTCGAAACCTATTATTTTATCTGATCGATTTTGTCATAACTTTAGTTCCGTAAATCAAAATGAGGTGCGGTTCAAAACATTGAAAAGCTAACACATATGACTATCCCATAGAGATGTATTAAGAGACTATATGGGTGCTAAATTTTGTGAAAATTAATTGCTTTACTTGTTACGTAATAGTTGACGGTAACAAACGAACGGTTAATTATTGTGAATGAATGAATTAATGATGAAGCAATGTTAAGATGATTTAACATGATTAAGTGTTGTGTGGATGTGTATTTGATGTGTGAATATATTATGTGAATTGCAAGTATAATCATTGTAAGTTTTGTGTTTTTTTTTGGGTTGACTATATTTTGGTAAAATAACATAATGTTAGCAAAATGTTGAACCAGATGTTCTGCCATGACAGTCAAACATCATGTTCTGCATGATGTTGTGACATGTTATAGGACATGTTATACCAGAAAAGTAGGGCATGACTATTTTGATATTTTTAGTGTGATTTCCGAGTGTGTTCTAGTTCACTCATGAACTTTTAAGTAAGAGTGTATTGTCCTTAGTTTAAAGCTTTTAAGTAAAACTAAGTATTGTCTTGGAAGTGTGCTACTTCTATTTTTGGTTACCAGAATTTCAATCATGTGAATTATTGTTGATGATTGTTGAGACGCATAGTTCAGAGCGAGAATTATTGTTGATGCATTTAATGCATGATTGTTTACAATCAGATGTGGGGCTATAGTCGTTGTTGTGCTGCTGTCGTGAATTATTGTTTACAGTCAGATGTGGGGCTGTAACCGTTGTTGTGTTATTGTCGTTGCATTATTGTATGTCATACATCATATGTTGTCATTTTGTGAAAGAGGCAAATCACGAATTTAGAAAGGGGACTTGTGATTTGTCCCAAGCTTGGAGAGGGGTCTTGGAGCTCAGAGAGGGGGCTCGGGGTTCAGATGTTGGGACCCAGTTCTTATGAAGAATCATTGTTGTGTTGGTATCGCATGCATATAGAGTTGAGTTGCGATTCCGATTCAAAAAGGGGACCGTGACGAGCATTGGCAGGGTTGAGGAGTCGAGCATTGCACACATATATGCATCGAGTTTGAGTTAACTATTGATATGAGTTAATGCAAACGAGTAATTGTTGTGTGAGTTAATTGGTGTGTATTGTATGAGTTTAGGTTACCGATGATCGTTGTATGAATTCATTACCTGTTGATAATTGTTAATTGTTGTTATTTAGTCTATCCTTCCCAATCTTTTGCACTGCTAACATATTTGAATGTATTCTCATCCTTTTGCTTTACGTTCTCCACCATGGACATCTTGTAGATAATTAGGAGTAGATTTTTGTTGTTGTGAGTGGAAGATAGCTTTTTGGAGCTTACATTCATTTATTTATCGTTTATCAAATTTAGTCGGTTAAATGCTCTGGTTTGTAACATCGGGAACATGACGCCTTGTTTTATTTTTCTGTTGAGCTAATCATCCGATGATGATATCTTAATTTCTTATTTAGACTTGTTGAGATATTTGAAGTTATGAATATTATTTTGAGTTTCTGCTGCGAGTGTTTTGATTTAAATGTGAAATATGTATGTTGTTTGAGAGTACCATCCTAAATATGCCGAATAATTATTTCGGGATTTAGGATGTTACAAAATACACCGTAGAAGTTCTCCGGTACGACTGTGAGACTCTCCGGTAGATAGAGATGAAAGTGTACCTGAAAACTTAACACTTTAACACATTCGAGAGATATAACTCAAAGTGTATAATGAATCATACCTTGGTATGATGCATAACCATATTTATATATAGACAACAATTATAATCGTCTTTGGCGGAGTCCGTTAGATAGACTCTAATAATTGATCTGAGTGTGACATCTGATTTCTATGCACGACTTTTTAATAAAGATATAATTGTTTGTCAATCTGATAGCCAGAACTATCTATTAAACTTTATATTAAATCGGTCTTATTAAACCATTTATTCGGTCTGAATTAATAGAATTATCAAAAACTCTTTTGATTTCAAATTAGGATGAATATCATCTCTCCTTCATGGTCTATGTACACTTCTATCAAATTCCAACAACTTTGAATAGATAAGTTAGCATCAATGTTAATTTTTTACTTTTCAAAATACTTTTAATATTTGACCCCCCAAAAAAGAAAACATTAAAATATAAAAATATGTGATACTTGATTGGTAAATGAATGTCGTGAACCACAGTAATTAATATATGTCAATAATGATTAAACTTCACACACTTACTTTCAACTAAACATTGAAGTTAATGAGAATTAAAGGTGCATACATTTGTGTCTTATTGCCTTGATTTTTCCTCCACCTTTCATGTTTTATTGTCTTGATTCTTCCTCCACCATGTCTGTCTTATTCCTATGGAATTATAGTACTAATTCGTGGGGATTTCAATCATGCTACACAAGAAGATCTTTCGGTGCAATGATAGTACCTACACTATGGAAACATTTTTGATTTGGATAAGTTCTTTGTTCAACTTTCAAATCAATTATATTTAGATGAGATCTTGCACTACCTACACTGAACCCTTATAATTTATGTATACAATTTTGATCTCAGTGGTTTGTTTTTATATGTT